TTTTCTGCAGCGATATCAGCCCCTTGCTGAAGGATCCTGCAGCTTTCAGGACTTTGATTGATCTTCTGGAAGATCATTTGAGGGCATCTTTCCCCCAAGTCGACTTTATTGCAGGTGAGTGTTGGTTGAAACATCTCTGAGGTCAGTGCAGAGCACCGTGGCCTCCGGTTCCCCGGGTGGGAAGCGTGGGCAGACTCCTCTGCTAATGGGGCAGCGAATGCTGTAGCCCTTGGACACTATAATCACCGGAATGTTGGCCTCCGTCGTATGGTTAACACCGGGACAGTTATCCCTGTAACCTCCTCCTGTAGTTTCCTGAAATACTGGTTTTGGATGTTGATACTTCAGTGCCAATTTCGTAATTCATTGCTTTCATCATTAAAAAAACCAGGAGTCGGGGAGTACTGGAAGTCTGACGTAAAGCCTCACAAGCACGCCTGTAAGGTCTTGCACCGGCCCCGCAGCAGGCAGACCCTGTTCCAGCGTGTTTTCCTTCTTGGGGGACCTTCTCAGGCCAACAGAAACAGCCTTTGTGGCGATAACACGTTGCAGCACACCTATGAACGTGCTTAGGAAGGCAGTGCTTGGGCTGGGTGATAGCCCAAAGTTCAAGGAGTCCAGACCAAACCTGGTCCGAGTGCCTTGTGATAACTGAAGTCTGTCCCCCGGTGGTACAAAGTCCCTGGCTGCGTGGCCAAGCTGATACTGGGGCTTCGCTGAGCTTATCTCTAAGAAGGAGAGCTAGAGGGGAGGCAAAACGGGCTGATGGGGGGGCTCGATGGGGTGCCCCGAAGCCCGTCCACAGCACATCGTGGCGAGCACAGACAGTGCAGGAGCGTGGCGTGTGTTTTCAACCCACAAGAATTACTGTAAGAGCAAATTTCTTCTAGAAACCCTGCCCTGAACACAGGAGGGTAAACCTGGGGTATCGTGCAAAGTCGAAAGGCTCTGTTCTGAGTGTTGGTGCTGCTCTGCTCCCCCCAGGCCTGGACTCCCGTGGCTTCCTCATAGGCCCCCCCTTGGCTCAGAGGTTGGGGATCGGCTTCGTGCTGATACGGAAAAAGGGGAAACTTCCCGGTCCGACCGAGTCCGTCTCCTACGCCCTTGAGTATGGCAAGGTAATGCCCAGGGGGGAGAAACAGCTTTCCAGGCTGGTTGCTGCAGGGCTGGGGTGGGTGTCAGCACAGAGACGGGGTGATAAAACCAGCGGAGGGGCCCCCCAAGCTGGGTTTCACAGCCAGTGCTGATGCCACGGGCGGTGTGGCAGGGCCCAAGCTTCAGGAGCAGCCCTGAGCTTCCCCATGCCCCGCCACGGCAGCTCCTTCCCCGAGCCAGGGATGCGCTGTT